GGCCGGGACACTTCCACTGTCCCAGGCTGCTCCAGCCCCATCCAGCCTGGCCTTGGGCACTGCCAGGGATCCAGGGGCAGCCACAGCTGCTCTGGGCACCCTGTGCCAGGGCCTGCCCACCCTCACAGCCAGGAATTCCTAATTCCCAATATCCCATCCATCCCTGCCCTCTGGCAGTGGGAGCCATTCCCTGTGTGCTGTCCCTCCATCCCTGTCCCCAGTCCCTCTCCAGCTCTCCTGGAGCCCCTGGAAGAGGCTCTGAGGTTTCCCTGGAGCCTTCTCCTCTCCAGGTGAGCACTCCCAGCTCTCCCAGCCCTGGGACCATCCTGGAGCCTCCTCTGGGCTCTCCCCAGCAGCTCCAGCTCCTCCCTGTGCTGGGGCAGCTCTGCAGGTGGCTCTCACCTGAGGGACAGAGCCCCCTCCCTGCTGCCGGTGCTGGGATCAGCCCAGGACAGGGTGGGTCCTTGGCCCTGCTGACACAGTTATTGGCACAGTCAGGCCGCATCCCATGGAAAGAGCTCCCAAGTAATAAAAAATCGGATCTAAAACCTCCAGTGCTGCACCATCGCACAGAGTGGGGTTTGTCTGTTTTCAAATTAAAGGCAATGTGGTGATTTAATGCCTGCAGAATTATAGCAGGCTCAGTGTTGCTATCAGGGGGAATAAAATCCTGCTCAGAAGGGAGCTTTTAGGCAGAACTGTGAGCTGCAGTGCTCCTGAGCTGTGTAAGGCACAGTGTGACATGTGCTGCTGGTTAACCATGCACTTTCAATTATTGCACACCCCCGCCTCAGAGGCACAGAAAGCACGGAATGATTCCTCACAGGGGGGTGCTTTCCACTGCTGTTCAATAAAGGAAATGGGTTCATTTGTGCTAAACAAAGGGAGAAGGCAGGGATGGTGGCAGGATGGATCTCAGGGCAGTAGATAGATGGAAAAATGTGTGGGCTTTGGGGAGATGCCTCTGTGTTCTTCTGCTTCCCTCTGCTGGAGTGTGGCAGGATTCCTGGCTGAACCCTCTGAGCTCTCTGGACAAGTCATTTCTGCAAATTCATTATTTATTTTGTTTCTGCTCCACTTTTGGGTTTTTCAGTTGTTCCACCTGGTGCCAGTGTGTGCAACCCTCCCTCTGTAATCACATCTCAGCTGTGAGACTGATGGATAATATTCTGATTTTTACAGAGCTCTGTGGGGTGTAGATGCCTGGTTCATCTTTATAGGGATGAACACCCATGTGTGTCACTGCAGGCTCTGAAACCCCAGTCTATTAGAAAGCATAAAAATGCAGAGCTAAATTTTTGCCAATTCAAAGGTTTTTCAAAGAAAAATATCTAAATGTCTGGGGTGTCAATTGCCCAGAAGTTTTTATCCCATTTAATTAACTCTATTGCATTGTACTTACAAAAATGAAGGACTGGAGAATTCACTTTTTAGCAGGAAAATAACACAAAGTTTAATGGAGCACATCATCCATCACTGCTGAACAAGTCCTTCCCCATTGCTTTCCCAATGCCACTTTCCCCCCTCAGAACTTTGATGGATTTTGGAAGCAGAAGTAGGTTTTCCCTTCAGAGCTTCACAATTAATCTATGCCAAGTTTAATGCAAAGTTCAATTCTCTTGCAAATAGCAGCCATTATTTGGCCGTTCATCTGTCAGATCCTGGCTTGGCTCCCTGTGTTTACTACAAAATGGGGCTGCCAGCTCTGCTTTGGGAATTATTGAAAGTTTACATTGATGAAAAAGGGATATTTGAAGAAAATTTACAGGATATTTCCTTTAGCTCCATAGTTTGCCTTTAGCCAAAGAAATGCTAAGGACAACATGATTTCCTTTATGATGCACATAATTCATTAATGCATGTTTAACACTGGGAAGTATGAACCTGTATTAACAACTGATAAAATAATTGCTGTTAATAAAAGTAATTACAGCTGGCAGTGTAGTAATTCTTATTAATATGATTGCTTGTAATTAAATATGAGGTATAGATTCAAGGGTAGTTCTGAGTGCATGAGAAATCCTTGTAAATATGGAAATAAAATGAAAAATTCTGTCATCTGTGATGGGTGGATAGTGATCTCTTGGCTTTCTCTAAATGGTCTTGGACTTGCTTCCTAAATAAGAGTACTTCCTGGACTTCAAGTTACCAAAAAAAAAACCCCAAAAACATGGGATTGAAGCAGAAAATAGGATACAACACTGATGAGGAGTGTACTCTCTTATGTGGCAGGCTTTAAATGTTTTTTTAGGACATTCTATTAAAGGGATCTTTAAAGAGAGATTTCCTACAAAGTTTCCAGTTCAGGAGTAGTTTTGGTTCTATTTTCCATTGTCCTCTTCTTGTTATGAAGGACTTTGTGTGTGGATATAGAATAATAATAGCTAATAATAGTCAGAACATTTTGCTTCTCCTTAAAAAATCCAATTCATATCAAGATTGTTGATTTGAAAGGCCCCACAGAGGAATTTTCAAAAAGGATAGAAAACGAAGATTCAGAATAGAAAGCAAACACTGATTCAGATTTTATACATCGAGTCCTGCAGGGCAAGCTCCAAAGTTTGATCCAATTTGATTGATTTATTTGTTAATGTGGCTGGTTTTTGTTGTTTTCTAAGAATGCTTTTCCTGGGATTTTGTAGCCACACAGAGCTCTGTAGTCAGGCACTGAAAAGCAGCCCGGCCCTGTGCTGGTTCTCAGTGAGTGCAGAACATTGTCCTTACATGTCACAACATTTGTAAGCCACACACACCCCTGCTTAACTTAATTACAGGCACATTCCATTGCTCGCAATGAAATAATTTGGCAGTGTTCCATAATTTCAGTATAATATGCAGGTTGAATGTATTTAGGAGACATTGACTGCAATAATTTCCCATAGCTTGGAATGAAATTATTTGGTAGTGTTACATAATTTCAGTGTAATACACAGGTTCAGTGTATTTAGTAGACATTGAATGTAATAATTTCCTTCCCCTCTGTACCATTACTTTATACTCATAAATAGCACTTGTGCCAGATGTCGAACACAACTTTAAACCTCTCTTTATTCAGTGTCTTTCTTAGGAACTGTGCCTTTTGTCCTTCTCAGCCACAGATGTCTTACCAGAGTCATGTTTAAGTGTAGATTTTTATAAGGCAACAAGTCCCCTTCTGTCATCTAAACAAACCAATTTAGGGAAGAATTAACTTCCCAACTGTGGTTTAAATTGTTTGGAAGGCACAGAGTCAGTGAGCCACCAGAGAGCCCTTCTGCACAGCCACGTTCCCATGACCCCGAGCCACCAGGCCTGTTGCTGAGCCTTTAATAAATAATGAAACAGATGTTCTCTGGAGCCCTGGCTGTCACTCCATGAGGTTCACTGTGTTTACAAAATAAATGCAGTTGGTAGCAGTTTGTGTCTCAGGCTGTTACAACGAGCAGAATTATTGAAATAGTTTCAGTTTCCATTTGTAATGTAAATTCTTTAGTTGTTATCCTGGGTGCTCTGTGATTCCTTCCATACAGTGAAAAGTGGTTATAGATTCACTGCAAAACTCAGAATCAATAGCAAATGAATTCACATGAAGAATGCTACCAGAACACTAAAAACCTTCACAAAGGATAATATGGCAAAATAGTAAAATTTGAAGGCAATGTTTTACCTTCTCATAGCCATATTTTTGTGAGAATTTCTAATCAAAGCTCCCAAATTTCTTCAGAAAACACTTATACTAGAGAGAGTTTTCATTTTGAGGAAAGAGTCAGCAGGTTTTCCCTTTTGACTGACATGCTGGGCTTCCCTTTTGATTTTTTGGAAAGCTTTGAGAGGCAGGTAAATTTTAAAAATCAGTATATTTATAAGTCAGTTTAACAGTTCTTAATACAAAGGTACAATACAAAGTGTGAACAGAAGGGAAACATTTCAATTAGTTGTTTTGCAGCTGTGTTTTCATTGAGGGTGTGTCAGATCTGGCATTTCATGATTTCCAACATCTTTCTGAAAAGAGTGTTAGCAAGGATGGATTTCAAGCCCCAGTGTGGTTTTTAATGAAGAGTCACTGCTCCCCCCACTTTGTGCCCTAGGCTGTGCAGGGATGGTTCTGAGTGAAATGCAGCTGGAGCAGGGAGGGTCATAAAGGATTTGAGGATTTAAAGGGTGTGCACAGGACAGGGCCATCCCCATGTTTGCTTTGGCATTGCACATCTGGAGCTCTGCAATGAGCCTGGCATGGGTGAACATCTGGAAGATGTGGTTTCTTCCTCTGAAATAAATGTTCCTGGTTTTCCAGAGGGGACCCTTACTCCTACAGAAACAGCAGATGTCTTTGGATGTTCAAGTGTTTAAATGATTTGGGTGTATTCCCTTTCACTGGGCCTAAATTAGGAAACATTTCCAAGCTGTTGATGGCCTTAAAATGTCCTCACTCTTTTAAGTTTCTCTGCTCAAAAATCAGCTGAGAACAGCAATCTCTGTAAAATATTTACCGCATGCCAAGTTAGAATTCGTTCCTTCATTCACAACAATAGAGATAATAAAGTTGCAGCATGTCAAGATGATCCCATCTGTAAAATCCTGATTTTACAGTCATTGGACTGTGTTCCAGATTAGCCCATGAACAGTTTCTTCCCAGTTCTCCTGCTGTATTTTGTGTCACATTTCAGAGCAGTGACAATAACACTCTGTAATTAGTCTGTGAGTCTTCAGCCACAGATTGAACACTGCCGTTAAACTTTATGTATGTGAGCAGTCAGTAAATGAATTTTAATGTCCATAAATCATGGGAACAAGCCTGAGCTGACACATTTTTTCTTACAGCACCATAAAAAGGAGAATTAGGAACTGAGGCAATGTGCCTGTGCCAATGCAGGTACCACTGAGGACAAGCCAGACACTGAAACATATTTTCCTGCAGCATAATTTGCATAGCTGGAAAGCTTTTGGTATTTGAAGTAATAAATTAAAGGTGTGTCAGTTTATCTTTCAGGACTCAGAATCTGTGTTTGTTTTCCCTGCAGGATCCCAGAAGCAAGCACAAGTTCAAGATCCACACCTATGGGAGCCCCACCTTCTGTGACCATTGTGGGTCCCTGCTCTACGGGCTCCTGCACCAGGGCATGAAGTGTGACAGTGAGTGAAGTTTCCTTCTGCTGCTCTAGAAAGGGAGTGGAAGCCCTGCATAACAGCTCCTTAATTCATTTCTCTGGAAAATACAGTTTCAAATGTCAGCTATTTATAGTGCTGGTATATTTCAAGTGGATATTTCAGGACTATAATAACTTAGTAATTAAAATCACCTCTTCTGCTGAGAACATGGTGTACTCAGTTTGATGTGGCTGAAGAGCCTTTGTCATGGCAATTTTGAGAAAGCCTCTCTTTGGACTGTCTGGGTGAATACACTCTCAAAGACTGGAATTTCAGTTCAGTTTGTAGTCAAGCTCTGCTGTTTTCCTTGTGTTTAATTTGTCTTGGAAGACTCCCACTATCAAAACCTAATAATCAATTAAACCTGCCTTCCTTCATTGCTGATGTGAATGCTCTGCTTTCTTAGTCATATTCCCATCAAGTCTCTATTCCATTTTCATTTTCCCCCCCCTTGCACTTCATTAATGATATGTTTATCTTTCTGAAAAGATAGATGATTTTATTTTCTGTTGTATTAACCCTCTACAGAAAGTATTGCAAATGGAAACCAGGCAGCTGTAATCTGAAAGTCTTGCCAATAATTAAGCATTTAGTCTTAATTTTCATTTTTATTAAATTTTCACTAAATTTTTAGCTTCTCATGGGTGTCTGAACCATTTTTTTGTCCACAGCCTGTGACATGAACGTTCACAAGCAATGTGTGATAAACGTCCCAAGCCTCTGTGGCATGGACCACACAGAGAAGAGAGGGAGGATTTATCTGAAGGCTGAAGTCACTGGTGACAAACTGGAAGTTACAGGTAAACTGCTCATTTTGGAGTGTTTCAGGTTTTATAAATACGTGATACACACTGTGAGTTTGTGTACCTTGGTCAGATCTTTGTGCGTTAGAGCTGCTGATGGAGAATTTCCTTCCAGAAGTGGGAGGATTTCGTACAGCAGGGCTTTGGATGGAGAAACTCTATGACGTTGTGTTCATAAAAATAAATCTGTAGAAGCAGCTTTAAAAACTTTGAAATATTAGTTAGAAAATCACTGTATTGTCAGTTTTCCTTGTCAGAAGAGCCCAGCAGGATGAGCTGCTGCTCAGGAAGTTCCCCATCATCTTCAGAGCATGAGAGATACGCTGAACCTCCATCAGCTGAGGAGTTGTTTCCTGTATTTGAGAGTATTGAATAAACAAAGGCAGCTGGGATTCAATCCCAAATACTACTCCCAGTGAAGTTTAAAATAAAAAAAGGTAGTTCTCATATTCTGTAAGTTTAAGGTTACCAAGATGGAGAGGAGGCGGAGAAAAGAAGGAGGGAAGGAGAGTGAGGGTGGCAGTTCCTTCCCTTGGAAGTGTTTTTCTGGGATTTGAGAATAACCTGTGGCTGTGCACACCCAGATGTGCACACCCACACCCCTACAGACCCATCCCAAGCCTGGAATTCCAGAGCACACTCCATGGAACCACAACAGAGCACAGAGGTTTTATTGCTGCCAAATGGAATTGATTTCAGGGGCAAAGTCACAGCAGGACAAAGTTGGTTTCTTAGAACATCTCCTTTGCATAGAGAAAATCAGACCATCACTGAATTTTCACAGCTTCCAGCCCCAGCAAACTCCCCTGCTGACATTATTCCTCCATGGCTTTGTTCTCTCTAAATCCAAATACCTCCATATTCTCCTGTCAAAGCCTGCAAAATGCACTGAAAAGGAGAAGTTTGATAAAATTCAGCTAGAAAGGATCAGAATAGATCCCAAGTGATGCTTAATTGTGGCTTAACTTTTCAAAGAGCTTCCTGTCAACGTGGGAGGGGGAAATTTGTCCAAGGTACTGTCATTAGCAGAAGGTGGTTTCACTTAGTAATGAGGCGTTTCAGAGATGGTGATGCAGCTTCTAAAAGTAATTGTACCGTGAGAGGGAATTAATTTAAAAATCATCCGAGTGACAAAATTTAATATTTGCTTTATTCTGGGCCCCTGTGCAGCAAGGCTCTTAAATATGGCTTAAACTCTCTGCAATAATGCACATAATTTGACAAATAACATGTGCTTATTTCCCGATGATTCAGTTGGTTTTTAATCCTTTTAGGGACAAAAACGTTTATCACAAGTCATTGTGGAAGCAAGGCAGTGTAAAGTGATTATTCAAACAAGGATTCTTTACGTTCACAGTTCAATTTGAAATGGTCTTGTCTGAGAGGTGAACGTGGTAAAATTGTAACAGATATTTTACAGGTTTTCTCCACAGGCTCTTTTAGGTGTGAGTGTACTTGGCAAATGACATTTCTATTGTGTTTATAAATAAAACATTTCCATCCCCCAATTAAGTAGGTTTCTGGTTTAACAAGAAGAATGTTTATTATAACTTTGTTATGTATAAAACAATTGCAGTGCTGTTGTTGTGGTTAAGGCTTGTCAGCGCTTCCAAAAATGACAATTGTCCTGAAAGCAAGCTGCTTTTTTTTTTTTTATATAAAAAATATCATATGGACTGGGCCAAAATGACATTTTTTGGTGCCTTTTGTGTGTGTTTAACTGAAAAGGAAATTAGTAATTGCCAGTTCATGGACATATTACAAAATGCAATAATATTCTCCTAGAATGCCATTGCTTCTAAAATACTTACTGACAAAACCTTTGTAAGAATTTGCAGTTCTCAGTGCTCCCAAGCACAACATCACTGCCTTTAGCTTTGGGAAAGGAGGTGAATAAAATGTCCAGGAGGTTTATGAACAGCAGGAAAAATAATCAATGATTGACTTTTCGGTTTGAGCCTTTCTCTGCATCTTTTTCAGAGGAATTGCTCTGTTGGTGTTGAACTCCTCCAGCTGAATTCCTCAATATCCCTGCTCTGCATCCTGTCTGGGTTGTTAATTAGTTCCTGCTGGTTCCTTCCCAGCCAACCTTGATTGAGTGCAAAACATTTCCAACATTTGTGCTGCTGAAGGGGACCCACTCTGGTGTTGGTGCAGATCCATGGGCATCCCAAGCGTGCCAGCCCCACCAGGGCACAGCTGCAGGGTGGGATCCTGTTTGGATCTGATCTCATCTATTCTTCATCTGTGGTTCATCTGGCACATCCCAGTTTCTCTTTTCTGCCTGCTTCTCTGGAGGTGCCTTTTGTTTCCAGTGCACACACACTGAGTGTTTTCCTGAGAACATGCTGGAAATTGGGCTGGGTTTTAATTCCCACTGAATTCTAGGAAGGAGCTGCCCAGTGGCTCCCTCAGATTATTCACAATCTCCAGCTTGGCAGGTTCTGAATGGAATTAATGGTGGGAATAATTCAGTCCTGTGTATAAACACATTTAATTCCAATTAGTGAAGTCAGATCTTCAACACAGGTGCATCAGTGTGGGCACCCAGGTTTTTCTGTGGGAACTGTAGGGACTCTGCAGCACCTCTTCCCAAAGGAGCTGGAATTTTGGATTGATACCCTCTGATATCAACTGATATCAGTGGTTGATTGATATCCTCTGCCATAACCTCACCATCTTCTCCAGGGCTGCCCCATTCAATGCTCATTTGTGCTGTAATTCTTAAACATCAGTGGTTTGTTTTCAATGGTTGAGTTACTTGCTTGAGAGTTGAGTTGAATATTAATAATTTATGGCACTTGCAGCACAGAAATGTGGTAGTTTTCTTTTTATAGCAACACTCTTGCATATTTCTGAAATCTCTGAGTTCGTGACCCTTTCACAGGTTGGATTGACGTGGGGGGTTTGCTCTTAAGCATAGTAAAGTGCTTTTTGCTATTCTTAATCTCTGCTTTTTACACTGAATTTTCTTCCTCCTGATGTGTGCTAAAAGTTTTTTCACTCTTACATTTACTCCTTGACCCATCTTATAATTTAGGGCTCTTCTGAGTGAGCTCGTAGGTGGTTGAATCACAGTTCTGATTTTTTTAACTTTATTTTTTGAATTATTTTTATAGTGAAAGAACAATAACCTCTGGGAGAAAAAATAACCCCATCTGGTGCACTGATATATAAAATGCTGCCATGATATTGAGACTTTAAACTGTGACTTCTCAGGCACTGGAAGTTGGATGTGACAGCAGCTGACAGGGAGGATCTGCCCTCCTGACACTGATTTAGAGACAGGATGGTGGAGACTCTGATTAAAACACATACAGGCACAGCCCAGAATTTCCAAGGGGATTTTAACTGTATTTTCCTAAGCTGTAAGGGTCAGAAAATCTGGTTTTATTTCTTCAGTGGTGCTGCTGTTATTTAGGAGAGGAGGAGAGCTGTGAGTGATGCCTGCAGAGGTTGGGAGCACACGGGAGGCTCTGCAGCAATGATCTCCCCAGGAGCTCTGGGCTCCCCACTGGACATTCCCCAGATTTTTTATGGGTTTAGGAATGCTGAGCCATCTCCTGGCACTGCATCTTAATGTCCTGTCATGCAGCTGGGGCAGGAGCCTGCACCCAGACAGGCTGGGGACACAAACTGCAGAGTTTTGGCACATTTCAAGATTCTCATCAAAACTGCTTCCTTAAAAGACCCCACTGTGCACACTGTGATAATTTTATTTTGATTTTCTAGGTCAGTGGTAGCGTCTGTCTTTGTTAGCATTCATTTCGTAGTATCCGCAGCTGATTTTAAAAGGGAACATAAATGAATATTCTGGCTGTTTGACCTGCTTTTAGTACCAAATCCCAAATAATTGTTTCCATGTGGGAGACATTTTAAACATCTCAAAAAACATAAATCTCATGGTTTACTTCACTAATGTCTTCTTTCTGACATTCCCAGAATCTGCAGGGTTGCTGCAGTCATTACAGGGAAAGCTGTGCCTTTAGCAATGCCAGCCCTGGTGACAACTAAAAGCTTCCTTCCCACTTCAGTCATTAAATTCACTTTACCATGAAGAAACAGGCAATGCAAGGTGTTTAAAAAAACCATTAATTTTTCAGAATGGCCATCTGCATGCATCCAAAAATATTAACTAGATCTTATATATTTATATAAGATAAGAATTAGAAATGTAACAGCCTGAAGCCTTTTCCAGAATATTTGATCCATCTTGTGGTAAGATTTTTGTTTCATTAAGCAGCTGCCCTGCCTAGTAGTGCATATATTTTAAGATGGTATTTTTTATAAAGATAATCTCCATTAAAACTAAAATAGAATTGTTTCTAAGAGATTTCCAGGTGAAATTGAACCTGGAGAACCTATTGCAGACAGAAGAAATTAGGAAGCAGGGTTAGGGATGAGGGCACATTTTTTGTTAGTAGGAGAGAATATCTCAATAAATACAGAGGAATCAAGTCTCAGGCAACATTGGTTCAGTTTTCTTCTTGTTCTGGACAAGGATATTGTTCAGTTTTCTTCTTGTTCTGGACAAGGATATTCTTCAGCTGTTCCTTGTACAACACCTGTACAGTGCAGGTGTTCATTCTGCTGCCATTTCTCAGGGCTCAGGCACTGGGCTTGGGAGGGATATGAAGAGAAATCTTCCCTAGTTATGGAATAGAGAAAAGTCTCATCTCTGAAAGCCTTTTAGTGATGAAAAGCAGAGACTGAAAATTGCCTGGAAAGCAGGATTTGTTTCAGTCAGTTGTACCTGTGAGTCACAAGCACAGAAAGGAAGAGTTCAGTGAGTTTAAATAAAATCTCCTAAAAAATCTTCAGTGAAAGCTGTGCTTTGGAGGCAGCTTTGGTTTTGCATGCAAAGAATACAAATCCAAAAATGAGAAGAAAGACTGTTTTCAGTATTAGGAAATGTTTTAAACTGTGATTGAGGGTGCAGGGGATACTGGGGGGGAAAAGTTCCTTGGTTGGGAGTGCAAGATCCTCTGTCCTCACTG